GGCAAAGCGCGGCCCGCGACGAGGCGAGACCTGCCCCGGAAAGCAAGCACAGGGGTATTTTAACAATCGCACTGCTGCTGCTACTACTAATAATAGCGATCCTCCACTTCTGGCCGGGAGACTGTCGGCGCTTGCCAGCCGCGGAGGGGGGCACTCCCTCCCGCTGATGCCACTGGACCATGGTTGCTTCCAGGGGCGGATCATGAAGTGTTTGACTTTCTTTCTTCTGCTTCCAGAGACCTTAAAGAAGTCCAAAAAGAGCGTCCGCGCCGGCCACGCCAAGGGGCCGGCATGCTATGAGATCGTGCCCCTGGCCCTCAAGAAGAAGATGGCTGCGGAACTTTACCCTGCCAACACCAACCTCGCCAACAGCAACGCCGCCGCCGCCAACAGCAAGAAGAACGCGCTCCAGCTCCAGCAGAGCGCCCAGCCGCCCTCCCCGCCGCCCCTGCAGAACCTCAACAACAACAACGTGGAGAGCGTCAACTGGCAGTCCTTCCACCCCACCCTGCGCGAGAGGTAAGGTGCCCGCCGCCCATGGGCAGGCGGGCGGGCGGGGAGCCAGCCCGGAGGAGACGGGGCCCGGTCGAAGGCGGAGGCGGCAGCAAGAGCAAGACGGGAGAGCAGCTCAAAGGTCGAGAGAGAGAGAGAGGAGGCAGCGCTTCTCTCCGGCAGCCCTTGAAAGAGTGGTTGCTGGGTGCCAACTTCCCGGGCGGGGGGGGGCGCCCCCTGGCCCGGTCGCTGGATGCCCTGGTGCCCAGGATGGGGAGGGAGTGCAGGTGCCTGGAAGAAGGGGGCTGTGCCCTGCGCTGGCAGGTTGGGGATGCCTCCAGAAACCCAAAGGGGGGCGGAGAGGAGAGCCCAGCCCTTGCCAGAATGAATAGTGATAGATGCTGCAGTTGTGCTGGGGGAGCGCGCAGAGGATCTAAAACGAGGGGCTGCCTGGGGCCAAGAGAAGGGACCCCAAAGAGGGAGAGCAACAATGATAGTTTTATCTACTTCGCTGATTTCACCAGGGCTCCCTTTCTGTAAACTTGCAGGAACGCACTCATGTTCAATAACGAACTGATGGCTGACGTGCATTTTATTGTGGGCCCCGTGGGGGCAACCAAGAAAGTTCCTGCTCACAAGGTTGGTGGTATTATGCATTCATGTATTTCTTTCTCTTAGGCTGTAACTGGGTTATATTTGTAGCATTTATATCAGTTGCCTATGAAAGGACAATTGTACCTCTTTAAGCCACCTTTCCTAGCTTCGGTTATTTTATTAAATACATCATAATCCAAAGACATTGTTTTGATGGTATTTAAAATATAGTTATCTAAAAATATAAAACTAGTAAGTTTTATCTTAGCTCATTAAAGCAGCTAATTACTAATTGTGGGGGGGGGAGATTATTTTTTGCCTGGAGTAATAAAACACTCTTTTAACACTAGATATATAATGAATCTGCACTAATATGTTTAGTCCAATGGGAAGAACAGAGAGAGAATGCTACTAAAATTTAAGTAAATTCTCTTTGCCTACCAGCGTGACTGATGGATTGTTTATCTGTTTTCAATATAGTATGTTTTGGCGGTTGGTAGCTCTGTCTTCTATGCTATGTTTTACGGTGATCTTGCAGAGGTCAAATCTGAAATCCATATACCAGATGTGGAACCTGCAGCCTTCTTGATCTTGTTAAAGTAAGTAGCAATAAAGACAGTTTGGAGAAATCTCATGTAAATAATGGCGTGTTTTTAAAGTCATTTTGCAACCTAGGAAATGTGTGTTCAAAAGTATTTGGAAAAGATTGTGATGCTGAGTTGTGGAATTAAAATAAAACCCTATGTCTATTTTTAAAATTGGGATTTTGTTTTATGTTGGTAGGTACATGTATAGTGATGAAATCGACCTGGAAGCCGACACCGTGCTAGCAACTTTATATGCAGCCAAGAAATATATTGTCCCAGCGTTAGCGAAGGCTTGCGTCAATTTTCTGGAGACCAGCTTAGAAGCCAAGAATGCTTGTGTGCTGCTATCTCAGAGCAGGCTCTTTGAGGAGCCAGAACTGACCCAGCGCTGCTGGGAAGTCATCGATGCTCAAGCTGAGATGGCACTGAAATCGGAGGGCTTCTGTGAAATCGATCAACAGACGTTGGAGATCATTGTGACACGGGAAGCACTGAACACAAAGGAGGTTGTGGTGTTCGAGGCGGTTCTGAACTGGGCCGAGGCCGAATGCAAGAGACAAGGACTGCCAATCACGCCAAGGAACAAGCGGAATGTACTAGGGAAAGCTTTGTACTTGGTACGGATTCCAACTATGACTCTGGAGGAGTTTGCCAATGGGGCTGCTCAGTCGGACATCCTAACCCTTGAAGAAAGGCATAATATATTCTTATGGTATACGGCAGCCAATAAACCCAAGCTAGAATTTCCACTGACAAAGAGGAAAGGACTTGTACCTCAAAGGTGCCATCGGTTTCAATCCTCTGCCTATCGCAGCAATCAGTGGAGGTACCGAGGGCGGTGTGACAGCATCCAATTTGCTGTAGATAAAAGGATATTTATCGCTGGACTGGGATTGTATGGGTCGAGCTGTGGGAAAGCTGAGTACAGCGTCAAAATTGAACTGAAACGGCTAGGAGTTGTTCTTGCCCAGAACCTGACGAAGTTTACCTCTGATGGATCTAGTAACACTTTCTTGGTCTGGTTTGAGCATCCTGTACAGGTTGAACAAGACACTTTCTACAACGTAAGCGCCATTCTGGATGGCAATGAACTCAGCTATTTTGGACAAGAGGGAATGACTGAGGTGCAGTGTGGAAAAGTGACATTCCAGTTCCAGTGCTCCTCAGACAGCACCAATGGCACAGGGGTACAAGGGGGACAAATACCTGAACTCATTTTCTATGCATGATGCATTTCACTTAGATTGTATTCCAGGGCTGCTGTGCCCATTAAGGGATACTTGACTTGACTTTAAAAGACTTCAGAGCAGTACAGAATGTTATGCCTCTTACCTATTTACTTACATTACCATCAGATACCAGACTAAGTGAAGGAATACTCTTGAATTTAATCTTATTTTATTTATTCGTAAGCTATTTGACTTATTGAACTGCAACATGCAGCAAGGGGAACATTTTAAAAAACTGCACGTGTTGTGCATCTATTTTGTATATAGATAACTAACTTGCAGACTGCAACTGACTCAAACAGAATGTTCTAAAGTAGAGCGGTTTGAGATTCTGTTGAATATAAAACATTTTTACTTGTCCTAAACTGCTTCTGTGCTTTGCTTATTACTGACACTCCTTATCACTTGTTTTCACATTAATGTTTGCAAAAGGCTGTGACTTTTAAGGATCAATCCAAGGCTATATTTCCCCACCCACTTGTACAACCTTAAGTTGTATGGGTATCATTAAGATCGAAGCCCACAGAATAGCAAGCAAAGTTGCACTACAAAAGATCAAAAGCACTGGTGGTTTGTTAGCTATTGCGTTCCTGTTCAATGAAATGTACAGCCCTTGACAGCTTGCACTATTGTGTTTTTCTATGCTAAATGTTATTTTTTTAGAAAATCATGTTTTTTTGATGGCACACACAAGGTACACAGAATGTTCCATTGTTGTATAACTCAGATTACTTGAATTCAAGAGTTATCTCAGATTCTCTCACTCTCTTTGCCAAAAAAAAGCTGACTCACTAAAAATGTCTGTAGCACCACAGTCCTATGGAGGCTCTTACTGCAACCTTAAATACAGAGGTGCCTCGCATAGCGACGTTAATCCGTGCAGCAAAAATCGCTGCTAAGTGATTTCATTGCTATGCGATTTTAAAAAGCCCATAGGAATGCATTGAAACCCCTTCAATGCATTCCTGTGGGCTTAAAACTGACCTTTAAGCAAAGATCCTCCATAGCGCAGCCATTTTCGCTGCCCGGTAAGAGAGGAATGCATCCCGAAATGCAGCGGGCAGCCATTTTTTTAACCCGGTGGCCATTTTGGAACCGCTGATCAGCTGTAAAAAAATCTTTGTTTTGCGATGATTGGTAAGCAAAACAGGGAACCAATCGTCGCAAAGCGAAAAAATCCCATTCAGACCATCGCAAAGTGATCGCAAAAACGATAGCAAAATCTTCATCACTATGCGATTTCAACGTTAAACAGAGTGCCCGTTAAGCGAGGCACCACTGTAATAGCCATAAGCAGTTCCCAAAGCTCAGTGTCACTTATTGGTACACATCTTGAACTGCAACTTGAGAGAGTAGAAATATCTTCAAACTGGTTTTCAAAATCGAGAACAAAGAACTGATACTTCAGCTCCAATCCTGTGCACGCTTTAAGAGAGCAAGTCACTTTAGACAGTGAGATTTACTTCCTGGCGACCAAGCATAGATTTGTACATAGTTTAAAATGCTGGTAAGACATTACAAATCTAGATTTTACAATATAATAATTCTATAGAAGGATGTCCTAAATTAATCAAGATGGCTTTATTTCTAAATTTCAAATTATTTGAATTGACTTTCAGATTATTTGAACTAACTAAGAAAAGAAAGCAGGATATACTTAATGCTCTCTTATTTTCACTTATATGGTGATTAAACAATTGGACATCTAGCTCTAATTGCAAAGCTCATTGTGGCTCTGACTCCTGTGTCTGGAATCTCTCATAAGTTTTCAGAAAGAATGATATAACTAATTAATCTTGTACTTTCATCACAAGCTTTTGCCCCCATTGAGTAACAGCTGAGATAGGGTAAACTGGGAATGCAGTGCCAGCCCTGGTTCAAAAAAGCTGCAGCTAGTTTTAGGCAACCAAAGGGAGTGGTGAGGCTATGTGTTTCCCCTGAGAGGCATAATTCTATGACTGGAGAAATATAACACTTCGTGATGTGGTAGAAGGGACAGCTGGTAAAGAAAAGTGGACATGCATAGTGCTCCTAATACCACTTTGAATCCTAGGTGACATTGTTACCAAATCTATCAAAGCCATATTGCATGACTGCCATAAATAGGCACAAACTATGTCAACCAGCATTTGAGATGCCTCAGTACTGTGGTACAAGATATTAGATGAAGTTGAATTTTGTTATATCGGTAACATTCCTGGTCCAGTCTCCAAACCAATCAATATAAATTGCAAAGTTTTTGAAGTTGTTCCATTGTTTTGGTCCCACTTTAGTTAAACAATTGAAGTAATGTTACAGCTGATCTCAGAATCAAATCTTATACCTTGGTATCAGACAACATCACAGTATTCTAGTAATGTATGCCAGCATGTAAAGGAAGCCAGCATTCAGACATCACTGGCATGACACTATGACTACTATTGTGAGCCAGGACTTGTTTGGTTCAAATGTCACCTGTGCTATGATTTCCCCAGATAGATCTTTTCAGCTTCACCCTCTATCTGTAACATTACTTTGGGCAAGCACTGGCCTACTTAATGGAGTTGTTGTAAGATTCCTGAGATGATGTATGTGAAGTGCATTGGACCTGCTTAACATTCTGTAATAATAATAATTATTATGTAGATGTCAGAAATTAGTCATTACAAGACATGTTTTGAATGCTTACACAAGTGCCTTGATTGATGATGATTGACTTGCTTGTGAAAAGCAAATGCAGATAAATTTCGGTCATTAGCCAGAGGGCACTTGATTTTATTTTTGATTTTTAACAGTAAATTATGAAATTTTCTGGGTTATCCTACTAACCTACTAATCAAAAATGGCAAGTAGATCACAACATTCTATACGCTTCCAACATATACCACGATATCTATACATCTAGATGAGCAATAATAATTCCATCAGGCACATCATCCTGTTATCACTGGTCATGTATCAGAGGCAGTTTCTTTATGTGGGTGAGAGTCACTCACAGTGCAACATTAGTAAAAGGCATAAATGGGTAAGTCTTACTCCCTTCAGAGTGGGAGTACATCTTTGGTCACAAAGATTCTCTTGTGTACTTCAGTCTCTCTAGACAATGCATAAAGAATCAGTGTTTAACACCAGTATTAAATCTCCTCTCAACAAGTAAACATCTGCAGATGAAGTCTAACTACCACTATCAAGACTTATTTTGATTTCCCCAAGATTGTTGATGAAGCACTGCCCTTAGCATTACAATATCAATTGACCTCCATCTAACATAGAACAGTTCTTTGGAGAGATTTGAAATCAAGCAGATCGTTCACCTATCCATCCATTTTTACCTGCTATAGCCCAGTTCTAGGCAGGCAGGATACAGGTTGAGCTTCCAAAGCATTGGCTCCCAACCTTTTTGAAACCACTATCCTCTTTTATAATACCCAAACAACATTTGACACCCCCCCCCATCATGTTTAAACAAAAAGACATTTTGAATGAGGAAACATTCTTTCTCAAAGTAAAGGCTACTTTCTCCCCCAAAGGGCACGTGCACACTAACTTTAATGTCTGGTTTCAAAAGGTCAAGGAAGAAATTATTTAACAAGGCTACAACACATATAAGAAAACACTTTCTGATCCACCTGGGGGGGGGGGGTGTTTCCCAACTTCCTGGGTTGGAAACACTGGTCTAAAGAATCAAGAAACCCACACAAGTAGCAATGTTATGCTAAGATTTCTGTTTCATGTAATTCAAGTGCCACAAACTTCCAACATTTAGTAAGGGGTAACTCCCAATTATAACTAATTCACCCTGCAGGTAACTCTATTAAGCATTTATTAACGTAAAGCTGGCTATCAAGTTAGGCTTATTTAAAATACCTGTAAACTGACTGTAAAGATTCTTAGTTCTGACTTAGTCTAGCTCTAACTTAGATTTAATTCTGAACTTTATTTGGGCAACAGCTGTATGCTTGACATTGAGCCATTAATTCATTCACTCAGTCTTATTATAAAAGACAGCAGAAATTGAAAGAATAAGCTTTATCTTGCTCACACTGATAAAAAGAGTCACTGCTGTAAGATTTTACATTCTAAGGTTACTTCTTTGCCTTAATTGGCTTCTTTCATCTCTGGATGTGTCCAGATTTAATTTGAAATGTGATTTAAATGCATGTTAAATTGTATTATGTAAATATTTTAGCTTTGAGAAGGTGAAATCATGGCACAAGGATACCCACGTACCGAAAGCCAACTCTTATTAAAAAGTACCTATAGCTGGAGCATTTATGCAGAGCTCTCTGGCCAAGAGAAGGAAGGTTTTGCCCAGCACGTAGACATTCACCTGTGAAAAGGAAGAAATATATTTAAATTATATAGCAAGAGTTAAATATAACTATACACATATATTTAAAATACAGAGATATTAATTGTGTAGAAAAGCCAGTTACTATTTATCCACTGTACTAGCCTGAAAAAATCCACAGTGAATTTTAGCTAATTGTGGCTTCATGATAGCAAAAAAATCATTCTGTAGGTGCAGCAGAAGTGGTTTTTCACTGATGCTCCTTCCCTTAACTTCAGCCCAACTACCCATGATGAGGGTACTGCTTTTTCTCAAATTCATCTGTAGGGCTAGAGGTTTGGTGGCAAATCTGCTCCTGCCCTTCCAGAATGGTAAGAAATAGAGCACAGAGACCTCCAGTAAGCAGGAGGGTGTCTGGAAAAACTGGATGCCACACCTTGCAGGAGCAGAGAGGATGCACTCTACTCAACAAAACTAGAGAATGCTTCAGACAGCTGCCACAAAATTTGTATGGTTCTTTTAGTGGGCTTTATTATCCTGAATTACAACTTGAATAAGTTGATACACAGATGTGGGACAAACTATAAAGCCACAACTGTACCATTCTTTTATGTCAGAAGATAGCTCCTGTTTTATGCTGATATGCAGTACAAACAACACCAGTACATCAGTGTCTAGGGGTCAGAATGTTCTTCCCACAAATGAGTGGCAAACATTTGAGACTCAGTAAAGCTGAGAGCATGTGATCCAGAGAGGGGGAAAGAGACTGTGTGGATGTTACAACCTGTGTCCATCATCTGGTGGACAGCAAAATTACCGCATTGATGTTGACAACACTGATCTGTGAATATGTGAAACCTCAGAGATCTTCCGTCATCATAAATCAATTACATCCAATTACAATACAATCCATCAGCCTTCACTCTAATGTTCTGGATGTTCACTTTCATTTTCACCTGGGATTTTTAAAATTTACATATGAATTCATCCATTTTTGTACACCCCTGTAATACACAGTTACACCTGATTCCAAACTGAAGTACTGAAGGGCACTGAAAAAATACCACCAAGTGAAAAACAGAAAGTTCTGTCAGAAAATGTGCCAAAGTGGCACCCAGCATTTCAAATAAGTTTTCTTGCCACATCTGTGAATAGACTCCATTGGTCAAGTGAGAAAAAAAAACAACCCAAACAATTTAGCTGATGGACACATCATCATTCTTTAGAGAGGATTAACCCAACGTCAGGATAACTATGATGACTTTCAACCGGCAAGGAACAACAACAGGAAGAGACTAATAGAAGGTTTGGTGCTGCTCTATATCCATAGTTTATAAGTACAGTACATCTTTGCAATTAGTTCTGTAATTGCCTAGAGATAAATGGCTTCCTCTGCAGTTTTGGGGGAACTAAAGATTCAAGAGCTCTCCTATTCCCAAGCTGTAGCTCCATGCTTCACCATGGCTAACCTCCAGTTCTAAGCGCAGATCAGTTTCTCATGCAGAAACTGATCTGCACCTAGATTTCATGTGAAACATCACATAGTTATCCTTTACTGAGTCAAACACTACATCCTTTTTCTCCCTCATTAGATTTACTAGTGCACTACCTTCCACCCCTCCCACTTCTAAGTAGAGTGCCGGGCCAGGGGGAAATGCCTGATTTGCTCCAGCCAAAACCCAGCAGAGAAAAAGCAGAAGATCCATCTGAACAATGCCAAACAAACCAGAGGTGGAGTGGGGGAAATGTGAAAGATTCTTAATCAGGACAGAGTAAAAAGCTGGAATTTCTCCAGACTATCAAGCTTCAAGGCCTTATAGTAGATCAGATTATCTCTCAATCTAGCTCACTTTGGCTCAGAAAAACAAAACCAATAAAAGCACGACTTTCAAAGAAAGTTCACTTCAGATGCCACATTACTATGCAATTTGAATTTTTCTCCCCCGGCTCTTAGAATGTGTGGGAGGTATCAGAAATTTTGACTTAGACATGTACAAGCCTCAATATTGCTGAGATCCTAGCATAATATATGTTTGATTTTCCTTCCCTAATCCACAAAAACTGGCTGGATAGCACAGTGGTTTCGGTTTCCGGCTGCAGAGCCAGAGGTTGGGAGTTAGATTTTCCACTGTGCCTCCTAGGAGAGAGACCCAGCCTGTGTAGCCTTGGGCAAGCTGCACAGTCCCAGAAATGCCCCCAGAAGAAGGGAATAGGAGTACCTGGAAAACCCTGAAAGGGGCATCATAAGTCAGAATTGATCTGATGGCACATGATTACGTATTATTATCAATCAACAGTAGAAGGGAATGGGAAACCACTTCTGAAGATTCTGTATCTGGAAAACCCTGAAAGGGGCATTCTAAGTCAGAATTGATCTGATGGCACACAATTACATATTATTATTAATCCAAAAAAGCAATGAGCATACCAGATATTGTACTAATACCTGAACAGATCACATCACGAAAAGATTCCAAAACTAAAAAAAGGCCACAGCCAAGAGTCTGTTTGCTTCTGTGTTACATGTAGCTAATTAGCACCTCCACTTCTATGGTGCAGGGGCTTCCCAGAGTTAGAAAATGCCCATAACTATGGTTTCTCAATTCATATTATCAACACCGTATCTACTGTGCCGTAAACCATAATGTGTAAACCATGGCACACAAATCCAGTTCAAATTATGGCTTCTGATCAAGGTTCCCTCTAAGCTGGGCAGGTGGGCACACAACTCCACCTCCCTCTGCACAGCGCTCTTCCTCCTCCACACAGCAACTGTGTTTGGTTCCAGTTGTGACAGAACCCTGCGTGCGAGGGGGGGGTGAAGGTGCACACACAGGGGTGAAGTCACACACACGTGAGGCGAAGCTCTGCCCAGTGGGGCTGAAAATTAGAGGGTACATTGCTTCTGATATACTGTATTAAAAATGTTTTGACATTATATCAAACTCTGATTAGTCTCTGATGAATCCTACTATTAAAAACACATACTGTCAAATGCACAAGTTAAACCTCAGTAATTTTTAAAAACTATTATTATGTTCACTACTGCTCATCGTCATGTTTTTTAAAGGTGTTTTCCTCCCCTCTTCGGTCAGAAACATTTCCAACCTAGCTGACATACAATCAAGAAAACAAGACAGTTTCTATCCTGGGCTTAAAATGTAATTCGAACAACATGAAAGGAAAAGGGGGAGAGGAGAGAAGAGATAGGAAAACAAAAAAGCACCAATTTTAAAGTTAAATAGCAGGTTCCATACTGATGACCTGCTGGAAACACTTCTTGGAATGGAAGCATCCAGTGGAGCAAAGAACTCATGGGATGGCCTTACCTCCCACTTCCTTCTCCTGCTGCTTTCTGTTGGCAAGGTGGGCCTTATGTGGTTTTCGTAGTCCCATTTAAAATATCTCCCTGTGCCTCATATTAGTCCAAAAAATGGCTACCCACTTCCTTCTCCTGCTGCTTTCTGTTGCCCAAGGTAGGCCTTATGTGGTTTTCGTAGCCCCATTCAAAATATCTCCCTGTGCCTCGTATTAGTCCAAAAAATGGCAAGGGGGGTAGTGTTGAAATGTTTTTATTTTTGTAACTTTTTGTCATAAGCAAGAGTAAGTGGAAGCAAAGCCAACAGAGGAACTAGGAGGGAAACACACACACGACCTCAAAGTGGCCTATCCGGACCTATTTTGAGGTATACAAAGGATTATAAATACACAGGATGACATTTAGAATGTCTGATACCACAATTAGCACTATTAGTCACTTTTTTAACTGGCACCTCTGGATTTTGAGGTATACAAAGGATTATAAATACTGTACACAGGATGACATTTAGAATGTCTGATACCACAATTAGCACTATTAGTCACTTTTTTAACTGGCACCTCTGGCCAAAATGTACTGAAAACAGTAGGATAAAGATGCTACCTTATAGTAGATTATCTCTCAATCTAGCCAGCCAAAATGTACTGAAAACAGTAGGATAAACGAAAGATGCTACCTTATAGTAGATCAGATTATCTCTCAATCTAGCCAGTATCATCTACTACTGTCACAGTGGGATTCCAGGGGATCACACAGTAGTCCTTTTCATGTGCTATCTCATTCTTCTAATCACAGCTATTTATTCTACCACTGAGCAGTAGTCCTTCCATATATGCAGAATACAGGAAACAAGGCCTTTATTTTGCCACCTCCAACTCTAAACTTTATCTCCAGCACTACTCTATCCCACTTCTTCCATTTTCACTCAAGACCAAGGCAGTTCAGCTACACACAAAACACTTCAAGGAAATGTGGAAATTGCTGGTCTATGCTCTCACGTACGATTTCCCATGTTTGGTTTGCCATCAATCAAGATAAGACGTCTGCCACACATAGTACAGTACTCTACTGCTCAGCCGGGTTTTTCCATAAATCTCATACATGTTTAATGTCCATGCAAAAAGTCAAACAAAAACTCAGCAATGAGAAATTGGTTTAGACTCCCTTGGCAGGGAAGTGTTATTGATGCTTTAACTGGAGGAAGCATTCACACACTTCATTTTTAAATTATAAAATATTAATAACTCCAAATGGGGGCTTTATCCCTCCCACAACCTTCTAGCATACCAAAATGGAGTAGCTGGGGGAATCATACAAGGCACTGGAAGTGAATCGATAAGAGGGATAATTCATGCTACTTTACTGTCAATATTTTAGTCCTATCCATTCTATAGACCAATTTCAAATGAAACAGAATTTCTTTCATTTATTTTATTTGGTCATTCAATATTCCAAAACTCTCCCTTCTCAAATGGTTTTCCATCCCCGAAAAAAAAACACCCTGCACCGGTACCTTTCACCTTGGAGTTGACATGGATTGCCTTTCTGAAGGCAAATAATTTCTCTCTTACAGGCCGCCTCGTGGTATCCTTGTAAGCTAAGAAAGCTGTTGTCGCGTAATGGTTAGGAGACCACAACTGCCCCTGCCATCTGTCACTTAAACAAACCATTGTACTCTTAACTTCATCCATCTACCTGCAGCACTCCAATCAGGGGCATG